TAAAAATTATATTCAATGTAACGTCAGCCCCCCAATAAAAAAAGGTACCAAAATAGAAGTTAACCACCATAAAGGAGTAAACAATAATAATAACTACAGCACTTGTGGACCTCCAAGGATTTCCAATATTAAAAATAACAATTATGGAAGAAACCAGTTATGGAATATGAAAGAACTGTAAAATGTTTAAAGACCTAAGAGATAGAATGAAAAATTAAGCAAGAGACAAGAGACTATAAAAAATGGCCGAGTTGTGTTCGCTTCAGCAGCAAATATACTAGAAAAAATGACCAGGCAGACTAGAGAAAGACCCAAATAAAACCGTATGAAAAATTCAATATTTGAAGTAAGAAAACTCAGTGGGTGATTTCAATAGCAGATGAGACAATGGTGAAAGCGAACCCCTGACTTGGAAGATGTTTCTTTTTTTTAAATAATTTTTAAAAAATCGTATTTATTTATTTGACAGAGAGAGAGGGAAACAGGCAAGGGGATGGGAGAGAGGGAGAGGGAGAAGCAGGCTTCTTGCTGAGCAGGGAGCCCCATGTTCAGGTGCTCAATCCCAGGACCCCAGAATCATGACCTGAGCCAAAGGCAGACACTTAAGGGCGAAGCCACCCAGGCACCCCTTGCAAGAAGTTTCTTAAGGAATTATCCAGAATGCAGCATGGAGCGAGAAGGGGGAAGGAAGAATAAGAGATTATAGAGGTACAAAGACAGGACAAGAAGTGGAACATATTAGAGTTCTGAGGGTGAGAAAGAGAGTTCGAGAGAAGCAGCAACATTTAAAGAGCTCATGGCTGGGGCGCCTGGGTGGCTCAGTGGGTTAAGCCACTGCCTTTGGCTCAGGTCATGATCTCAGGGTCCTGGGATCGAGACCCGCATCAGTCTCTCTGCTCAACGGGGAGCCCGCTTCCTCCTCTCTCTCTGCCTACCTCTCTGCCTACTTGTGATCTCTCTCTCTGTCAAATACATAAATAAAATCTTTGGGAAAAAAAACAGTTTAAAAAAAAAAAAAGAGCTGATGGCTGAGGAACAAGGTGTCTTCCCACATGGGACACACACACACACACACAAACGCACGCATGTGTGCATACACACCAAGCACAGTTAAGTAAAAGGACATTTATATGCAGACATAATGTACTGAAGCTTCAGAATGCTGAAAAAAAAAAAAAAAGACTTTAAAACCAACAAGACAGGGACGCCTGGGTGCCTCAGTCGGGTAGGCCTCTGCCTTAGGGTCTGGTCACAATCCTGGAGTTATGGGATTAAGCACCCCCCATCCCTCCCTACTCAGTGGGAGTCTGCTTCTCCTTCTGCCCCTCCCCTTGCTCTCTCAAATAAATAAATAAAATCTTTTTTAAAAAAGCAACAAGACAGGGTGCCTGGGTGGCTCAGTGGGTTAAGGCTCTGCCTTCAGCTCAGGTCATGATCCCAGGGTCCTGGGATGGAGCCCCGCATCGGGCTCTCTGCTCAGCAGGGAGCCTGCTTCCCTTCCTCTCTCTCTGCCTGCCTCTCTGCCTACTTGTGATCTCTCTCTGTCAAATAAATAAATAAAAATCTTTAAAAAAAGAAAGCAACAAGACAACACAAGGAGCTGTGAATAAACTTCTCAGAACTAAGAGGGTCAGTCAATGGGACGACAGTATTTGCAAAAGACTAAGAAAAACTGTCAAACTATTAAAAACATTTTCAGATCATTCCATTTCGGTAATTTTCAGAAACTGAGCGTTCATCTTCGAAACACTTTCTCTCAAGGAGGTAACTCCAGAGCAAAGGTCAGCAATGCAAAAAGAGTGCGCAGAGAAACTGGCAGCATGATGGCAAATGTAACCAAATTCCGGCTGTGTGAAAGAATAACGTCTCACTTTGGGGATAAAAAAATACTGGGCAATAATGGCAAAGGGGAGGTAATCAAAGTTCAGGTCCTTCTATCATTTGCCAGGGGTCAGATGCTAAATAAGTTGAAACTATGCAGAATAATTTAAGGGTATGGTCAACTTCCAAGGGTAACCACTATAGGAGTCAAATGTATGACCTCCAAAGCAAAAATGTGAAAAATGTGTTTAAAAAAGGACAAAACAACTCCCAAGCATCAAACTTAATTAGTCTAAAATGAGGAAAGAGAGGAGGGAAAGAAGAGATATAGAAAAAAGACAGAACTATCACATGCTCGCTCTGTACCCACACCAGTCATCCTAGCCT